AGTATATATACATAAAATCTATCATAAGTTACAATAGAAACAATACACAGACTTTTTTCTTTTTATTCCATAAAGCAGCTCAGAATGATGCTTATACTGAACCACTGGTTTTTACAATAAACCAAGTGTGTTGGAATGCAACTGCATGTCTGAACGTTACGCTGTGATTAGGACCATTTGACTGCACACACACACACTGTTTGCTGTTAGGCCTTCCCTGTCAGATATCTTCCACCTCCATGTAAATTTATCTCCAATCATTTATCACCGTAKGAAACATCAGCACTCTTCCATTTTACAGACATTATTTTCCTCGTTACAAACTGTGCTTTATCTTACTTTAGGTTTAGACATGTGTCACCTGAGCTATTTCTGCTTTTACTTTGACACACATTTCTGAAGGTTGGAGTAATCTGATGACCTGTCGTCAGTCAGGGAGGCGTCCAGATGAAGGCGACGCTGATTGAGCGAAGCGGGGAGTACAGAGCGACGCGATTACGGAGGTTAGTTAACGAGACGTCAGTGTTAATATTGAACATATTTGCGGCACTTCCCCACTCTTAGCTTGAAGCAGCTGGTTTCCTCCATCCTTCACTACACAATCACTTCCCCACTCATGGGACCAGATGTAACCCACATCTGTCAGACTTTATTAGCTGCATCAATCTGGACGGCACTGTTCGTTTCTAAATTTCCCTTTTAATTCTTAGATTCAGATATGATTTGTTAATATTCCACCTCTGAGTTTTGTTAATACCAAGTTCTGTTTTTTTTTTTTTATCTATATTTCCACAGGGAAATTTTCCATCTTTTACACCTAGACTGAAACTTCTGCATGAGTACCCTGAAATGAAATCTTGATGGATGTTCTAATTTAGTTTAAGATGTGATAAATTATCTCTGTGGCTTTATTTCCAGGAATGCAAACGAGGGTTGAAGCAGTCGACATGGGGACTAATCCTGCCGCAGTGGGACGTCTGCACTGCTTTGTAATAATCGTGTAAATTTGTTTTTTTTTTTTCTTTGAACACAGTAAATTGTAATCCATGTTTGATCAGCTTAGATATTTTCCTCTTGACTTAAAATCCCATCGATGCTACTTGGATAAATTATTCACACGTCCCTGATGGAAGTGTCTCTGCTTGAATGTTGGTTAAAAACAGTGAAACCTTCTGTGAGTTCAGGGTGTTTACACTGATCTGGAACAGACAGGAGGTTCTGCCATCTGGTGGCAGTGCAGAGAACACCCTGTTACCTCAGAACAAAACAAATCATTAAATCCGTGTTGTTTTAAAAAAAAGGCAGATCTTGGAAGCGGGCAGTTCTATAGATGAAGCCTTGTTGTGTCGTGAAAGCGAGTCGTGACACGCCGCTATATTTAAACTTCCCCCGAGGTGCCGTTAAATCATGAAATTTCTTCGTCAGGCCCCTTTGACCTCATTTTAACATCCACACGGAGAGCATTAAAAATAATGGATTCATATCCACCGTGCTGTCTTAGAGGTTAAACTAAAGCTACCGTTTACAGAATAATAAGTGTGTTTTTATGGACTGAATGCAAACTATGAAAAAAACATAAAAATATTAAACTGATGCAGTTTGAAAGCGTTTACTCTGGTGGTTTTCCATATTGATTTAGAAATGCGGGTCTGCACCTAATGTAAACAAAGCAGCAATAGATTAGTGGTTATACACAGCAAAAATTGTCCATCTTACCAAGTTTTAAAACCTTATATCAGCCAAAAAGTCTTTTTGATCTTGTTTTGAGACTGGTTTACTAAACAAGATTGTGTAAGAATAATAATCTTGTTTTCAGAATAAGATTATTTGTCTTTTTAGTTTGAAAATTTGACTCAATTTAAGTCAAAAATTTCTGCCAATGGAGTAAGA